CTGGGGAGCGGCAGCGGGGCAGGAGGACCCGGGCGGCCGCCCCGCCGTCCCACAATGCCCCGCTCCAGCCACCTGAGGGCGGAGAGAAAGGACAGCGGCGGGGGTAGGGATCCACGGCGAACTCCGAGAAGTGCGCACGCGCACTGACCCCGGCGAGCCCTAGCAACCAGAGCAGTGACAGTAGCAACCGCCGGAATGGTGAGTCTCTTCCAGGCCCGGTAGCCAAGCCGAGAAGAGATTGGAAGTGGGAAAGGGTGGTTGTAGAGTGGTGAGGATTGGGAGGGCGGAGGGTGTCCTTGAACAGCGGAAGGGAGCCCGGGAGCGGATGCTGGCTCCTTGGAATCAGAGGCCTGGGGCGAAGGAGAAGCTGGGTGGTCTGGGGTGACGGGGCTTGGGCGGATTCGAGATTGGGTTAATGGGGAGGGACCCTGGCAAAGAGAAGGGAAGGCAAAGAGCAGGAGATTCTCGAAGAAGAGGGGCTTGGGGTGGGAACGGTGATGGAAGGGAGTGGGTGAATGCGGGTATCTTTTACAAAGAAGTAACTCCTCCCTCCCCCGCTAGCGAGATGGAGTGGGGGAGCTGGCTACGAGAGAGATGCGTGTCACACCATTGCGGCAGTATTTAAACCTGTGATGTGCGCAGGTTGCCCTGAATGACTGTGAGTGCAGTTACTAGGTAGCGTTGTGAAACCCAGCCTGATAGAATGCATTAGGGCACTGTTTCTCAACTCAGTGTGCGTATGTATGATTTTAGTGGGCCCAAATACTATATAAGCTTGTTGGAATACAGATTATGAATTTTTAATATGATGGGGGAGGTTCAGGCATGTGCATTTTGACAATGCACCTCAGGTTATTCTGAAATTGGAGTGGGCCCCACCGCACTTTGAGAAATACTGCCTTCGCTTTGAAATCTGTCGTCTGTTTATCCAGTGAAAACTGTTATGAAGTAATGGCTTGACCTGGTGATGCTCCTCAGTTCCTACTTAAAATGTGCTCTGTCTTGCTTGCATGCTTGGCAGTTCCCACTAGTAGCGTGAAGAGGGATGTTGTTGGTTGGTTATAGAACCAGCCCAAGCTGTTCGGCAAAGGATGTGATTGTCTGGCTGGGATGGAGATGTTTATGAAGAATAAGCATAATTCGTTGTCTTCATTATGTGATTCCAATGCTACGTAGGTGGGCAGAAACTGAGCCCAAGAAATGGAAATGATAAGGAAGCCATTCATGCCCACCCTCAACCACGAGATTAAACACCACTCTTTTTAAAGCAGTCCCCGTCCCTTCCGTACTTTATTCCACAGGCATTTAGCTAAAACCACGGCCAAGGAAAGGAAAAAGTTCTGGAACCTAGGTTTATATTCAGGCAAAGAAACAATAAGCTCTAAACCCCGCAAGCATGAACCATAAGAATTATTGCAAATCTCCAAATAAAGAGTCAGAACCAGTAATTCGATGAAGTTAGCTGAGGCTGTCAACTGTTAGTTCTGGTGCCCTCCAGAAATAACAGGCCCACATAATGTGTTATTTACTTATAAAGAACTTTCCTTACATATTTTTTTATTGATTGATTTTTGAGAAACAGAGGGAGAGAGAGAGAGAAAGAAACATCTATTTGTTGTTCCCCCCATTTGTGCATTTATTGGCTGATTCTTGAATGTTCTCTAACCTGGGATCCAACTGCAACGTTGGTGTATTGGGACCACACTTTAACCAACTGAGCCATCTGACCAAGGGCCTCATATAGTTGGTGTGTTTTTTTTTAATTAAAAAAATTAGCTTCCAGTGTCCTAAAAAAGGATATTTCACAAGAATGAGATTTCTGGCTTCTTTGAAAAATCAGAAATACTATATTTCACCATAAGACTTTTTTTTATTATTGGAAATGTTTGTATTACTGTCATATAATTGGCAGCATCTTTTCTTAATGGTACATAAAATAAGGATGTTGCTTTCATTAATGGAGTTTTCATGTTTGAAGAAATGTGATATTAGGGTAATTCTTGTCCCAAGTCCCCCCTGTCAACAGCTTTCTAGAGCCAAGTAGGGGCTCTTTACATGGCCAGCTTTATCCATTAATGATGTTCCATTGGTTCTTTAGGCATTTCAGTTTTTGATTCCTGCCCTCTAGAGAGGAACTAGTGACCTTCCAAGATCAGACATGATTGGGTGTGTTCAGGATGGTATGGCCTTAGACCAGCGGTTCTCAACCTGTGGGTCACAACCCTTTTGGGGGTCGAACGACCCTTTCACAGGGGTCACCTAAGACCATCGGAAAACACATATATAATTACATTTTTTTAAATTAATCATTATGCTTTAATTATGTTCAGTTTGTAACAATGAAATTGGGGGTCACCACACATGAGGAACTGTATTAAAGGGTCGCAGCATTAGGAAGGTTGAGGACCACTGCCTTAGAATTAATGACCTTATAAACCAATTTATAGATAGTTAGATTGTTTCCAACTTGAAAGTGTTCTTAGTGTCTTTTTATGGACCCATGCAAGGATTTCTCTGGGAAATATACTAGTAGTGGGATTGCAGAGTCGTAGGGTCTATGCAGATTTAATTTACCTGCACACTGTCAGACTGCTTTCCAGATTGGCTTTACTAGTTTTTGCTTCTCTCTACATTGTCACCAACTTTCTAACTTTTGCCATTCTGAGGATGTATTTTAGCATTCCATTGTTTTATTCTGCATTTCTCCAATTCTTAATGAGTTTGAATACCTTATGATATTCTTATTAGTCATCTGGATTTCAGTTTCTGTGCATATTCTGTTTATGTTTTTTGCCAACTTTTCCATATTCCTTTTAGTTCTAAATTTTAAGAGTTCCTTATATATCTAGATATCAGCCCTTTGTTGGATTTACATTGAAAATATCTTCTCCCAGTTTTTTGTTTACATTGTCAACAGTGTTCTTCACTTGCTGAACTCCATTTGTTCTAATATTTGTGAGTTTATGTGATTTCTATATAGATGACCATCTGCACAAAGTGAGTTTTGTTTCCTACTTTTAACCATTGCAGTTTGTATTTCTCTTTATTATAACATTTTAAAGATCTCTTGTACCATGTTAAATAGTAGCAGTGATAGTAGACATCCTTGATGTGTTTGGGATCTTAAAGAGAATACTTTTAATGTTTCCATTCCAGTCTGGCTTGCCTTACCCACCTCATTTAAAACAAACATCCTCCACATACATATACACAGATCCTGATATCCTTTACCAAGCTCAGCATTTTCTCTTTCTTTAGCAATTGTCATCTTCTAATATAGTGTATAATTTCTTTATTTTCAAAATTGTATTACCATTTGTCTCCTGCTAATAGTTCTATGAAGGCAGAGATCTTTGTTTTATCTGTTGATATATACTAGGTATGTAGAAGAATGTTTGGTATATGCTCAATGAATATCTGCTGAAATGAATGAATTTCTCCATTAAGTATGGTGCTTATTATAGCTTTTTGGTATGTAGCTTTTCTTTTCTTTTTTAAATCCTTTCCTGATGATATGTTTTTATTGATTTTAGAAAGAAAGAAAGGGGGGAAGAGAGAGATAGAAACATCATGTGTGCGAGAAACATTGATTGGTTGGCTCCCATACACATGACTGGGGATTGATCCCGAAACCTAAGTATGTGCCCTGACCAGGAATTGAACCCACAACCCTTTTGATGTATGGGATGATGCTCCGATCAGCTGAGCCACTTGGGAGCCCTTTAACTCTTAAATGAGAGCTTTTAATATCAAATGTAGACTTTATGGGCCCTCGCCAGGTTTTTCAGTTGGTTTAAATGTTGTCCCCATACGCCAAGGTTGCGAGTTAGATGCCTGGTCAGGGCACATACAAGAATCAACCAATGATTCATAAATAAGTGGAAAAACACATACATCTCTCTCTCTCTCTCTCTCTCTCTCTCTCTCTCTCTCTCTCTCCCTCCCTCCTTCCCTCCCTCTCTCTTTTCCTTTTTCTCTAAAACCAAGAAATAAATTTTTAAAATTAAAAAATGTAGAACTTTATCAAGTGCTTTTCTCTACTTGTTGAAATAAATGTGATTTCCCCCCTTTTAATCCAATAATAAATGATTTACCTTTATAATTTTTTCTGTTGTTAAACAGTCCTTATGCTCCTGGGATAAACTTTTCTTTATCATGTTCATTATACATCATTGGCTTTGGAGACCTATTATCATATCTAGGCTTTTCAAATCTGTGTTGAGAAATGAAGAGGGCTCCTTATCTCGTTATAGCATCAAGTTATTCTGCCTCTTAAATACGTTGGCAGCTTTCCCTCTTTTTCTGGTTCCTGGAACAACTTGTATAACAGGGAATATCTGTTCCTTGAAAGCTTGGTAGAACTCATTTGTAAAATTAGGCTTGGAGCTTTAGGGGAGAAGGATGAGGGTAAATCTCTTCAATTTTCTGTTTAATGATTTAAATAGTTATTGGTCTGATTCTTCTTGTGACAGTTCTGGCACTTTTCTGTTTTATGTTTGTTTTTAGAAATGTATACTTGGCCTAGCTTTTCAAACTTATTACCATGTATTTGCTTATCATATTTTATTTTAAAATCCCTGTGGTATCTGTATTATTTCCCCTTATTTAGTTTATATTTTTAACTTGTCTCTCTCTCTCTTTCTTTTAAATCCTCACTCAAGGATATTTTTACCATTGATTTTTTAGAGAGAGTGGAAGGGAGAGGGAAAGACAGAGAGAAACACTGATGTGAGAGAGACTCATCAATTGGTTGCCTCTCACATGCCCCCAACCAAGGCCGGAGCCCGCAACCGAGGTAGGTGCCCTTGAGTGGAATTGAACCCAGGACTCTTCAGTCCAAAGACTGATGCTCTATCCATTGAGCCAAACTGGCTAGGGCTATCTCTCGTTTTTGATCAATCAGGCTTGCCAGAGATTTAAGAACTAACTTTTAGTTTTATTAATCTTTTCCCTGCTGCTCTGTTTCTCATTGACTTCTTCCTCTGTATTTCCTATGCCTTTTTTGGGTTTATAATGATGTACTTTTTCAAATATCTTGAATGCTTAGCTTATTTGTTTTCTATCTTTTGTTCTCTCTTCTTTTAAAATAAATGTATTTGAGGCTGTAAGTTTCCTTTTACGTGTTATATGTATTTTTCATATTTTTACTTGTCTTTTATTTTATTATTTTACTTGAATTTTTTAACCCAAGAGTGATTTATTAGTATGCCCTTATTTTCTAGACATAATGCTATATACTTTTAAAACTTTCCCTTTGTTTTTGTTTAAGATTCCTCCCCCCCCCCCTCGCTCTCTCTTACTGTGGTTCTCAACCTTCCTAATGCCACGACCCTTTAATACAGTTCCTCATGTTGTGGTGACCCCTAACCATAAAATTATTTTCATTGCTACTTCATAACTGTAATTTTGCTACTGTTATGAATCGTAATATAAATATCTGATATACTATATGTGTTTTCCGATGGTCGCGACCCACAGGTTGAGAACCGCCACTTTAATGTTTTTATTAATTTCAGAGAGGAAGGGAGAGGGTGAGGATCACTGATTAGCTGCCTCCTGCCTGCCCCACCCTGGGGATTGAGCCTACAACCTGGGCATGTGCCCTGACCGGGAATCAGACCATGGCCTCCTGGTTCATGGGTCAACACTCAGCCACTGAGCCGCGCTGGCAGGGCTCTCTTTCTTTTTTTTTTAAAGGAACTCTATCAGTAATTCAATGGATGTCTTCCCTTCTCATCTTTAAAGTTTTAAATATCATAATAAATGGAATCTAAGGTATTATTGATTATTAAGTGCGACATTATTTTGTGTTCTGCTAAGAAAGAAAAATAAATTGGAATTGAACTATGACAAATAATTTCTTATCACTTAGAATTTTTATTTTGTACTTATTGGCAGAGTTCTTTTAAATGTATTTGGGCATATAGACTTTTATTATATGTCATCATTTGCAAGCATAAAAAGGAATCTATGTGTATGAGATAAAATGGTTCTTGTTTTTCTAAAACTTCACCACTGGCACCTGGCCACAACAATTGTAAATTGTTCCTGGTTAGAAGATGCATCCGAATTTCAAAGATGTTAACATATGAAAGAAGATGTAGATCTTAGAATCAATGAAATGACACATTTTAATATCAAGCTTTGAAAGCTATATGTTTTTTGAAAACCAAGTGGGAGTTATGTAAATGGACATTACATCTTGATTCCCTTAGTTTCTCAGAGAGGTATTTAAATCTTTCTGATTTGAGAAAATTAAAAAACTCTTTGCATATAAAGTCTCAAAGAAACAAGTTAATTTTTTAAATGGTAGATACAAAGACTAGTAATTATTGTATGAAAAATTAACAGATTAGCCCCAGCCGGTTTGGCTCAGTGGATGGAGCGTTGCCCTGCGGACTGAAGGGTCCCAGGTTTGATTCTGGTCAAGGGCATGTACCTTGGTTGCGGGCACATCCCCAGTGGGAGGTGTGCGGGAGGCGGCTGATCAATGTTTCTCTCTATCGATGTTTCTAACTATCCCTCTCCCTTCCTCTCTGTAAAAACTCAATAAAATATATATTTTTTAAAATTAACAGATTACACCAATAAAGACAACCTTGTTTTTCCTTCTCTTTTTAAGGCAAAAGCAACAACAATCAAAGAAGCTCTAGCCAGATGGGTGAGTATATGAGTTTTTAACTTCTTTTAGAAACCATGCAAGGAGAATTTTTAGAAAGTTATTTAAATCTGACCTTTCAGTAAAAGGGACCTTTGTGGTATTGGAACTACTTAGTTATGTTGACTGTGGCAGTGGATACATGAACCCACATAGGTGATAAAAATGTGTAGAACTTAATGCACCCATACAAACACAGTCACACCATATATATAAATGAGTACATGTGAAATTGAGAAAATCTGATTTAAATCAGTGGATTGTATCAATATAAATATTCTGGTTGTGATATACTTAGAAAATATTATTAGGCAGCATATATTGGTAATTAAATTTTAATTTTGTATACTTAGTACCAAAATTAAACTCTAAGGTATAACTTAGTAGTAAATTACTGCAGAGTAAATAGTTGTGACCTCAGCTGTGCTGTAAAGAGAATATCTTCCAAAATTCTTGATATTTTGGGGTTCTAGTTCAGACTGAATTATGTATAAGACAGAAAGATGAAATGACAAAGAAAACAGTTGATCTTATATAGGTCTGAACCTGATATTTAAGGAAACGTTATTTAGAGACAATGAATTCTTCCCAGGAAGATGTTAGGATCTATAATAATCAAAGCATAATATGCTAATTAGACTGGATAGCCAAACGACTTTCCCGACGTCCTTCTGGACGTCCTTCCACACAACCTTCTGGATGAAGCCAGGGCTTTGAGGGCAGAGGCAAGCCACCACGGCTGTGCGGGCCAAGCCTCTTGCATGAATTTCATGCATCGGGCCTCTAGTTTTAAATATTACAGAAATTAGTTATTTTCTTTCCTCTTTTTTCCCCTTTGGTTCAGATCTAACAACGAATTACTTTAGTTTTCCATGTAGAACCTTGATTATCAGAGTCAACAGTAAAGGTCAATAGTGAACTATAAAGAATGCACAGAATTGCCCTGGCTGGTTTGGCTCTGTATAGGCAGCGGTTCTCAACCTGTGGGTCGCGACCCTTTTGGGGGTCAAACGACCCTTTCACAGGGGTCGCCTAAGACCATCCTGCATATCAGATATTTACATTACGATTCATAACAGTAGCAACATTACAGTTATGAAGTAGCAATGAAAATAATTTTATGGTTGGGTCACAATATGAGGAACTGTATTTAAAGGGCCAGAAGGTTGAGAACCACTGGTATAGTGTTGGCCCATGACTTAAGAGTCCCAGGTTTGATTCCAGTCAAGGGCACGTACTTACCTCGGTTGTAGGGTTGGCCCTGGTCGGCCCGTGGGGGAGGCAACCAGTCTATGTGTTTCTCTCACATTGATGTTTCTCTCTCTCTGCCTCTCCCTCTACTCTCTCTAAAAATCAATGGAAAAAATATCCTCAAATGAGAATTAACAACAACAACAACAAAAAATTAAGAATGCAAGAATTGCCCTGGCCAGTTTGGCTCAGTGGATAGAGCATTGGCCTGTGGATTGAAGGGTCCTGGGTTAGAATCAGATTAGGGGCACGTGCCCAGGTTGTAGGCTCGATCTCCAGTGGGATGTGTGTGGGAGGCAGCCAATCAATGATTCTCTCTCATCATTGATGTTTCTGTCTTACTCTTCCTCTCTCCTCCTCTCTGAATTCAATAAAAATATAGTTAGAAGAAAAGAAAAGAATGCACAGAACTACTAATTTCTAATAATTGTTTTGAAATAAAGATAGAAAAGCCTTGGGAAATTCTAGCCTCCTTTAACTCCACATCACAATCAGGGATCATTTTTTCCCCAAATTAATTTTTATCACAGGAAGAGAAAACCAGTCAGAAGCCATCTGAGGCCAAAGAGGTAAAGCTTTATGCCCAGATCCCTCCTATAGAGAAGATGGATGCGTCCTTGTCCATGCTTGCTAATTGCGAGTAAGTTCTTGTCTTTATTCATCCTTCTGGTTGTCTGGACAATTAAAGAATTATTCCCCCACCATATTCCCAAGTTTAAGAAACTCAGTTTTTCATTAGTACTTCTCGGGAAAGGAGGATGACTAGAAAATATGCAGATTTGATCAGTAATTTACACTGTACAGTAATTGATTTTACTGTATCAAGTAAAAAAATGAATAATTCCTCTTCAAGTCAAATCAGAAAGGATATGCTCACATGTCCTAGAGTCAAACTTTTTGGGTTTTAAATTTGGCTGTGCCACTTTCTGGCTATGGAATATTAGGCAAATTGTCTCATATCTTTGTACCTTAGTTTCTCAAAATATGGATACTAATATTTCAAAAGATTGTTGTAATGGTTAAAATAGTTAATGCATGTAAAATACTTAGAAGAATAAAAGGCATGCATTAAATGTTCAATAAAATTAGTTTTTATTATATTTTTGCATGAAATTTACTAAGATATTAAAAACATTTTGTCAATAAAGGAAGACTAAGAATTGTATATATATTCTCCCTTTAAAAATTTGTCTTTATATAATTAAAGTATTATAGAAAAAATCTAAATAAATATATATGAACTATTAAAAATTCCTTGAACTAAGTGATCTGGGGGAAAGTGTGGGGTGATTAGGATTACATATGACTTCTTACAATATACATTTCTGAAAGATTTAACACATGAGAAAATAAAATGTATTGTTCTGTTAGATGGTTTTAAAACTTAACTACATATCATGGACATCTCAAGTTGGTATCTATAGCCCAGTGTCATTTGTTTCCATGACAGTATAGCAATCCTCAGTTGATGGATGTTTATAGACTTCCCCCCATTTTTTTGCTATCATAATATAATCAATAACCTAATTCATATAACTTTTGGCATTTGCATTAGCATTTCAATGCGATGTATTCCTAGAAATGAATTACTGTGTCAAAGAATACATGCATTAAAATATTTAATAGATAACACCAAATTGCACTCAAAGAGGTTTTTTTTAAATTTCCTACAATGAGTCTATGTTAACTTTTGTAATCAGAAAAAACTATGAAGATTTTAAAATGAAGGAATATATGCCATTTCTGAAGGGGATAAAAGAATTCACTGACAAAAGGAAGTATGACTTAAATATCATCTTTTATGGGCACTAGAGAAATAATCTCTGATATACTATTTACAATTTTTTCATATTAATTCAAGTTTTCCTTTGTTCTTTTTAAGGAAGCTTTCACTGTCGACAAACTGCATTGAAAAAATTGCCAACCTGAACGGTTTAAGTAAGTGATACACAATAGCAGATGGTTCTTGGATTTTCTAGTTATTGGAATAAACATTCCAGAGACACTACGTAATCCCAGAAGCCGGCACCTGTTTTAACCACAGTAATTGTCAGATAACAGAGAGAATATATAAATCATTTGTCTTAAGTTTGATTATCCAAAGAAAATTACAGATACATGAGACCTGAACATTTTAAATATATTTTAAAGCTAAGGGTTTGAATTGAGATATCTTAAATTTAAAAATCAGATTTTTTGTGTTCAGATTTGTCTTGTGTTTCATACTGGTTATATTTAACTTTTAATTTCTCATCATCCCTGTTTTTCCTGTGCTTCTTAAATTTGTTAATGACATTATCACCTACCAAGTTGCCAAGGCCTCTGACTGTTGTGCTAGTTTCCCATGGCTGCTGGAACTAGATGGCTTAAAATAACAGACATTTATTCCCTCCCAGTTCTGGAAGCCAGCGTCTGAAATCAGTTTCACTGGCCAAAGTCGAGGTTTTGTCAGCCCCACTCCCTACGGAGGCCTCAGCGGAGAACCTGTTCCTTGCCTCTGCTCGATTCTGAGGGCTGCACATTCCTTGCACTACATCACTCCAGTCTCTGCCTCAGCGGTCATATTACATTCTCTCTCTTTTTGTCTGTGTCTAGTTTTTCTCTTTTGAGTTTACTTGTGATTGCATTTAGGGAATACCTGGATAATTGGGGATACTTACCTTAAGATTCCTAGCTTATTCACTAGTGAAGAAACAAACATTAAAACAAGATATTAATATTTTGCCTATCAAGTTGGCAATGACTTGTTTATTTATTTATTTATTTTAATATATATATTTTATTGATTTCAGAGAGGAAGGGAGAGGGAGAGAGAGATAGAAACATCAATGATGAGAGGGAATCATTGATTGACTGCCTCCCGTACGCCTCCTACTGAGGATCAAGCCCACAACACAGGCATGTGCCCTTGACTGGAATCAACCTTGGGACCTTCAGCCTGCAGGCCGACAATCTATCCGCTGAGCCAAACCGACTAAGGTGTCAATGACTTTTAGAAAGTATAATACTTACCCGGCCAGCCTGGTTCAGTAGTTGAGCATGGTCGACCTATGAACCAGGAGGTCATGGTTTGATTTCCAGTCAGGGCACATGCCTGGGTTGCGGGCTTGATCCCTAGTGTAGGATGTGCAGGAGGCAGCCAATCAATGATTCTCTCTCATCATTGATGTTTCTATCTCTTCCTCTCCCTACCTCTCTGAAATCAATAAAAAATATTTTAAAAAATGATTAATAAAATATGATTCTTGCCCCCAAGGAGTTCATTATCTAAAGAGACAGAACATATTCCTCACTATGAAAATGACTAACATTTCTTGAGCATTTATATGTACCAGGCACTATTCTAAGTCCTTTATATACACTAACTCATTTTATTATTCACAGTAGTGCCCTTGCTGGTTTGGCTCAGTGGATAGAGCATTGGCCTGAGGACTAAAGGGTCCCAGGTTCAGTTCTGGTCAAGGGCATGTACCTTGGTTGCAGGCTCTTCCCCAGCCCGGGCCCTGGTTGGGGCTCGTGCAGGAGGCAACCAATTAATGTGTTTCTCTCACATCAATGTTTCTCTCTGTCTTTCCTTCTCTTCCACTCTCTCTAAAAATCAATGGAAAAATATCCTCTGGTGAGGATTAATACAATAGTTATGAAGTAGGTAATTATTATTATAATCCAAGATTGTCTTTTATAAATGTTTACAAAGAAAGAGTAATTAAATTAATTAAAACCAAAGTTTATATAACATATATACCTGATACACACACAGACACAAACACACCATTTATTGTGTACTAACCATGGGTTAGGCATTAGGCTGAATGTTTTATTATATATATATATATATCTGATTTCAGAGAGGAAGGGAGAGGGAGAGAGAGATAGAAACATCATTGATGACAGAAAATCATTGATTAGCTGTCTCCTGCACGCCCCACACTGGGATCCAGCCCACAACTCGGGTATGTGCCCTGACTGAGATTCGAACCCTGACCTCCTGGTTCATAGGTTGATGCTCAACCACTCAGCCACACCGGTTGGGCTAGGCTGAATGTTTTAGACAATTATCTCAGTTCTTTTTTAAAAAAATTAATTTTTTTTATTGATTTCACAGAGGAAGGGAGAGGGAGAAAGAGACAGAAACATCAATGATGAGAGTGAATCACTGATCGGCTGCCTCCTGTACGCCCCCCACCAGGGATCTAGCCCGCAACCTGGGCATGTGCCCTTGACCGGAATCGAACCTGGGACCCTTCAGTCCACAGGCCAAGGCTCTATCCACTGAACAAAACCAGCGAGGGCTATCTCAGTTCTTATATGCTTATAAAATAGATACTGTATTTCTTTATTTTACATAATAAAACTGAGATTCAAAGAGGTTTGGTTGCTTCCCTAGAAAGTTGGGATTTGAACTCAGTTAATTGGTTTTGTATTCTTAACTATCAATTTATGGATGTTATAGAACAGTGCCATCCAATAGAACTGTCTGCACATTCCCAAAACAGTTGCCACTACCCTTACACAGCTAGTGTGACTGAGAAACTGAATTTTAATTGTATTTATTTTTAATTAAGTTAAATAGCCATGTGACTAGTAGTTACCATATTGGACAGTGTAGTTATTGAAGTTTTAAGTTGTGAAAACTAAATGTATAATTTATGCATAAGTAATCAAGTAGTTTTTTTAGAACAAATGAGATTTCCTGTGTTTTACTAGAAATCTTTTTTTAATTTTGAAAATAATACATGTACATGGTTTTATGTAAATAGTTCAAAAGAAATCTTCTTCTGACCATACACTCTCAGTTCCTCCCCCACAGCAACCACTGTTTCTTCTTCCTTTTTTCTATTTCACAAACAATCTATAGATACACAGGTAGAAACATCCTTATAAAAATACAAATAGGTATCTTTTAAACCAAATCACAATCTAATTATTAAAAGACTGAAAGTAAAAGATTTAAAAAATACTAATTAATTTGATTTCTAATCCTTTGTGGAGTGAGGTGTACTATTCTTAAATATGTTTTCTATTATGAGTCCTCATACCATAAAAGATTTGAAGTATATACATGCTCTCAAATCTAAAGTTCAAATCTTCTTTGCTCTTATTTTATCCCTCTAATATTTTTATTAGCCATCAATTTAAGATCATGCATTCTAAATAGCTAACAATTAAAAAAAATTAATACTGGCATGATGTGAAATCTCAGTTGTAGTGTTTACCTTATTTTCTTTTAAATATATTTTTATTGATTTCAGAGAGGAAGGAAGAGGGAGAGATAGAAACATCAGTGATGAGAAAGAATCATTGATTGGCCGCCTCCTGCGGCCACCTCCTGCACGCCCCCAACTGGGGATCGAGCCCCAAACCCAGGCATGTGGCTTGACCGGAATTGAACCTGGGACCCTTCAGTCCACAGGCCAGTGCTCTATCAACTGAGCCGTACCGGCTAGGGCATGTTTACCTTATTTTCTACTTGATTACCACTTTTAATTAATACAGCCTTTCTTACTCTTATACAAATATATTTATTATATAAAATTTATTAAAGCTATAGTATACTAGATTTACAATTGTGTCATATGATTCTCATAAACAAAAAATTGCTTTTTTTCCCCCCCACTACAGAAAACTTGAGGATATTGTCTTTAGGAAGAAACAACATAAAGAACTTAAATGGACTGGTAGGTTGCTACTTATTGCTTTACAAAAGCATATACTTCTTTCTTAGTATGAAAATAATACTTGTCCATTGCAGAAATTTTATAAAGTAGAAAAGTAACTTTAAAAAGTCCCAAAGCCCTGGCCAGTTTGGCTCAGTGGATATAGAGTATCAGCCCTCAGACTAAAAGGTCACGGGTTCAATTCCCTGTCAAGGGCACATACCTCATGCGGGAGGCAACCAATTGAGTTATCTCTTTCACATGGATCTTTCTCTTTCTCTCTCTCTCCCCCTCCCTTCCACTCTCTCTAAAAAATCAATGGAGCCCAGCTAGTGTGGCTCAGTGGTTGAGCATTGACCTATGAACCGGGAGGTCAGGGTTCGATTCCCAATCAGCGCACACGACCACTCTAATCTGTAAAACATGGAATGTTAAATTGAATGAAGGGGTCTATTAAAAACTACTGGTTGCATAACCCATGAACACAGACAATAGGGTGGTAAAGACCTGGGGGCGGGGGGGGGCGGGCAAGGAGGGCTGGAAGGGTCAATGGGGAGAAAAGAGGACATAGGTAATACTTTGAAAAATAAAGATTTCAAATTTTAAAAAAAGATTAAAAAATAAAATAAACCTGGAAAACTGACTATTAAGGTACATTATAAGCCCATTTGTATATATGCTCTGGCCTCTGCCTTCCTTTCGGATCTCATTTCATATTACTCTTCTTTCTAGCTGTAATCTCCAGCTACTGGCCTTCTCTCTCTTCCTGGAAAAGACCAAGTCCATTCCCACCTGAATTTTGTACTTGCTGTTCCCTCTGCCTAAAAAACTCTTAGTTCCTATAGATTTCCACATTACTTGCTCCTTCTTAACTTTCACACTTCAGCTCAGATGTCACCTCCTCAAAAGTGACCCAGCTACCCTATATCTAATGTAGCAATAACTCTTGATACACACACACACACACACATAGACACACATACACACATTCACACATACACACACACACACACACATAGACACACATACACACATTCACACATACACACACACACTCACACACACATACACACATACATACACACAAATATAAATTACAGTCTGGAAAAAATTTTAAATTGATTTCAGAGAAGAAGGGAGAGGGGGAGAGAGATAGAAACATCAATGATAAGAGAGAATCATTGATTGGCTGCCCCCTGCATGTCCCCCACTGGGGATCAAGCCCACAACCTGGCCATGTGCCCTTGATCAGAATCAAACCCGGAACCCTTCAGTCCACAGGCTGACGCTCTATCCACTGAGCAAAACCAGCTATGGCTACTGTCTGAAATTTTTATTGGTTTGTTCTTCTCCATCTTGTTCATCCCTCCCCCACCGCCACCCCGCCCTCTCTTTCTGTCGCTCGCACAGATCCTAATGAGCACGTCAGTTTTGCTCATTAGTATCTACCTTAGTGCTTAATACATGTAGTAGGCATTCTATAAGCATTTAATGAGTGACTCAATATGTTTTATTACTAATTATAAAATCTATTAGGTTAAATTTTTAATTCTAAAAGTAATATATGTTCATTGTAAAAAACAAATCAAGCAATTTATAAGTATAGGAAATACACTATGAAAATCTTTTTTCTCCATACCTACTTCCCCAATTCCATGAGGTAACAAAAAATATTGTTTTGTATACTTTAATATTTTTTCTGTGCAAATACAAACGGATATCTGTGTAAATGTGTATGCCTGTGTGTTATATATTTTGTACTATTGATTACTAATATATTTTTTTCTGCTTTCTCACTCAATAGAGAGGTGGGCAAAAGTAGGTTATAATAATAAATAATACAATAATTAGTAATAATACACAAATAAACTTTGTTTTGTGTACTCACAACTGTAAACCTACTTTTATATTAGTAATATTTTTTCATGTCAAAAGGTGACTATTGTAAATAAAACTGCTATTAACATGAGTATTTAAATATCTTTTTGAAACCCTTTTTAAAATTCTTTAGGGTAAATGCCCACAAGAATTGCTGGATCATATATTTTTAATTTTTGGAGGACCTGCCAAACTGGTCCATAGCACCTGCAGCATTTTACATGCCCACCAACAGTGTGCAAGGATTCCAATTTCTCCATATCCTTGCCAACATTTCATACTTTCTGTTTGTTTGATAGTAGCCATCCTAATGAGTGTGAGGTGGTCTTTCATTGTGCCAACCTCCTCATTTTACAGAGCAGGTCACTAAGAAATTATTTGTTTACTGGCAGAAGTGAACCAATTTGCTGAATGCTTGTTCACTCAATGCCTAGTTCTCCAAAGGGCCAGTTTACTGAATGACAGTTTTTACTGAATTGGTTCAAACAAACTTAGCCAGGTTTCACTGATTATATTCACCAGATTGCTTCACCAAAATCTCATCTTTATTACTTACTTTTTAAAAAAATATATTTTATTGATTTTTTACAGAGAGGAAGGGAGAGAGATAGAGAGTTAGGAACATCAATGAGAGAGAAACATCGATCAGCTGCCTCCTGCACATCTCCCACTGGGGATGTGCCCGCAACCCAGGTACATGCCCTTGACCGGAATCGAACTTGGGACCCTTCAGTCCACAGGCTGACACTCTATCCACTGAGCCAAACCGGTTTCGGCTTTATTACTTACTTTTAATATATATAGAAAATTGTGTTTCTTGGAATGGTTTCACACCTTTTGAAATTTTCTTTAAGGTTTTATTTAGTGCTGCTAATGTTATTGCAGCTGTTTCATCCATTTTTTGGATTTGTCAGTCCATCTCTGTAGAATGTCAGTTTCACATTTTAGGCACTGATCACTTCTCAAGTTATCAAAATAGTAATCTAATTGAGCTGGCTAGCAAGTACTTATATTTAGAGAAATACAAAAGACAGTAGAATAGATTGAAGATGTACTGAAAGACAGAACCACATCCTGGGCATTCAACATCTGTACAACATTTGTAAGTCAATATGCCTTAAGAAATTCTCGTTCTACAAAGTAATATTCCCAAGTAAAGTCCCAAAATATACTGAAATTTGGTAATGGCAAAAGAGCTGCATCCAAATGGCTGAAAACTAAGTAGAAGCTAAATTAGTACTTGGAGAATTGAACAAATTGGCTATATTAAAATTGACCAAAAGTCCTCATCTGCACATATAAAAACAACACTAAATAAGTGGCAGAACACAGAACTGAGCCTAAATCTTCTAGTCAGCATTTAATCAGTATTTTTTCTGCTATCTCACACTTTTTAAGTTGGAGACATGAAATGGATGCAGATGCACTGCAATGAAAATGCAAGCAATAAAGTTTAAATTACATGAAAACGGATTTCCCCTTCTGAAAGACATACATGATATACTAACTAGATCACTTTGGTGGAGAAGGTATCAGAATACTAGCTGAGGGGTTTGGTTAAGTCACAAAGTTCTGATTTAAGAGCGCCAGGACAGAAAGAACCACTACAGTCTGTCTTATGTCTGAAAAAGGGACGTTTGTGCCACCACTGACTGTATTTAAGAGTCAGTGTGGTCTAATTTTCTTACTATAATGGAAACGGAATTTTATACATGCAAAAAAGTGAATTAATGGAATGATAGTTGTTGGACAGATATTTGCTAGGTAAAGGAGAGTAAAATATTAATCGTAGAATTTGGGTAGTGGATATGGGGTCTACTGTAAAATTCTTTTGACTTTTGTTATGTTTGAAAGTTTCCATAATAAATATTGGGGGGGGGGAATCCTGAAATTTAGACCCAGCTCTACTACTTAATAACATTGTGGTCTTAGAAAAAGCCCTTAAGCTCTGTATAATAGAAATAAATAACCTGCTTTTCTATCTTAAATGTTACAAGGATAAAATAATAAAATATATAGCCAAGTAATTTGAAAGCTATACTAGTCAATAAAAATGATCAAATAGTGCTGTTATTTTCCCTGTTGGTGGTTTCAGTACCTTTTCTTAGTTCAGATCAGTTTGAAGAGAGGAAGAGAATGTTCTGCTTGGCTTTTTTAATGCCCAAAACTCCCACACAGCCTTCAACTCTCCTGCCAGGGGACAGGTGGGTCTCGGTTCTCTGAAGACCATTGTCTTTATGTTTATAAAGGAAGGAAAAAAGCTTAAAAATAAGCATATATGTAAAATTGCTTTCTTTTTCAGGAAGCCGTAGGGGACACATTAGAAGAACTATGGATATCCTACAATTTTATTGAGAAGTTGAAAGGAATCCATGTAATGAAGAAATTGAAGATTCTCTACATGTCTAATAACCAGGTGAAAGACTGGGGTAAGCTGAGGCTGGCTCTTTGCTAACTTCTACCTCCTATTTATAGAAAATAGCCCAATAGGGAACAAGGAACAAAGGGAGGACATTTATTTCTAACCACCGAGGGAAATAGCTAAATGCTTAAAATTTACATCTAAATATTTACTTAGAATGATTTTAATTGAATAGGTTCTGGTCCTATTAATCTTTAAGAAATTAAATTAATTGTCCAAAGGCTGGAAGAAATCAGTTTAAACTTAATAATTATTGTGTGGAAGGCTTATCTGACATCTATATTACTTTGCTTTTGTTTTTTAATATATTTTTATTGATTTCAGAGAGGAAGAGAGAGGGAGAGAGAGATAAAACATCAATGATGAGAGAGAATAATTTATTAGCTGCCTCGTGTATACGCCACATTGGGGGTTGAGCCCGTAACTTAGGTATGTGCTCTGTCCAGGAATTGAACCATGACCTAGTTCATAGGTCGCTGCTCAACCACTGAGCCATGCTGGCTGGGCGCTTTGCTTTTGCATTGTACATTATTTATTCAGTATTTACTAAAGCCCTATTATGTGCATGAACTATAGGCCAGACTCTTGAGATACATAGTTGAATAGGACACTATCTCTGCCCTCAAGGAGTTCACAGTTTAGTGGAAAGGTTAGTTTATCTATACTAATAAAAGGGTAATATGCAAATTAGACCGGACATCTTCCGTATGTCCTTCTGGACAAAGCCACGGTGGCAGGGGCCAAGGCAGAGTGGTTAGGGGCAATCAGGAAGGCAGGGAAGAGCAGTTAGGGGCGATCAGGAAAGCAGGGGAGAGCAGTTAGGGAGCGATTAGGCCGGCAGGCAGAGGCGGCTAGGGGCAATCAGGCAGGCAGGCAGGTGAGCGGTTACAAGCCAATGATCCTGGATTTTGAGAGGGTGCAGGCCGGGCTGAGGGACACCCCCCCCTCCTGTGCACAAATTTCATGCACTGGGCCTCTAGTAAGCTAATAATTGTAAAACTGTGATAAATTCTGCAGTAGAGGCTCCAATGAGTTGCTTTAAGAATTCAAAGATGAGAGAGGGGATAAGTACAGACAGTTTAGCTTAGCCCATACTGATGCAATACAACACAGAGAAGACCTGTCACTGGTGAATGATTTGTCGGGGGTTTTTTTGTGTTTTTTTAATTTTTATAATCCTCACCCAGGATATTCCTCCATTGACTTTTTTTAGGGAAAGTGGAAGAGAGAAACATTGATGTGAGAGAAACACATCAATTGGTTGCCTCCTGTACGAGCCCCAACCAGGGCCTGGGGTTGGGGCAGAGCCTACAACCAAGGTACGTGCTCTTGACCGGAATTGAACCTGGAACCCTTTGGTTCACAGGCCGATGCTCTATCCACTGAGCCAAACCTGCGAGGGCTATTGTTCCTTTTTATTGTAAATCCTATTTCTTCTTCTTATCCTAGCCTTAGGCCAGCATAAAGGTAGAAGAGGTATGTCTTCTTTTTCCCTCCCTTTCTGTAATGTTTTCAGAGAATCAGTCCACATGGTCTAACTACCCTTACTTCCTTCAAAATCTTAAACGACAAATTGTCTTGAATAGTCACCACCAGTGATATTGGAATTCAACCCCGAAAGCATAGCAGTAAAACCTGCCATTTTAATGTGGAAGATATTCTTTGTACCTGTAGCTGAGTTTGTGAAGCTGGCGGAACTGCCCTGCCTGGAAGACCTGGTGTTCGTCGGCAATCCCCTGGAAGAGAAGCATTCAGCTGAGGGGAACTGGATTGAAGAGGCAACCAAGAGGGTACCCAGACTGAAAAAGCTCGATGGTGAGTGTCTCCGAGCCAGCTTAGGGGCGTTCATAGGCATAAGGGCTGAATTCATGACACGGAATCAAAAGGAGCAAAACTGAAGGAAATGATAGGTTGGCTCTATTCCAAGGCCATTTTTGTCCACAGGAAATTTTATGGTCCAGGTTTGAGCAGGGTGAAATGAAAAACTTTTAGGAACTTTAGTCTGGTAGAAGATCATCTCTAGATCAAAAGCTTATAAAAAGAGTTGGGCTTATTCTCAAATCACAGGCACTATTTTGCAGAATAATTAGACACAAATGGTAAGTAACTACTTTTTCACAATTGGATAAAAATTGTAGTGTTCTCTTACCCTCTCCCTCACAAACACACACACAGGATCTAAGATAGGTGTCCCTGTCAGTGGATATCCTTAATTGACTGGGCTCTAATCCCAGTTCTACCACTTACTATCTTTTTTGTCATTGTGGGAGTTACTTAATTTCACCAAACGGTTTTTGTTTTTGAATCTAAAAACTGGAAATGAGCCGAAACCGGTTTGGCTCAGTGGATAGAGCATCGGCCTGCGGACTGAAAGGTCCCAGGTTCGATTCCGGTCAAGGGCATGTACCTGGGTTGTGGGCACATCCCCAGTAGATGTGCAGGAGGCAGCTAATCGATGTTTCTCTCTCATCCATGTTTCTAACTCTCTATCTCTCTCCCTTCCTCTCTCTGTAAAAAATCAATAAAATATATTAAAAAAATAAATAAATAAAAACTGGAAATGATAATTGTCACAGACCCCTCTTGGGGTCTTACCTATTCCCAGTGGTGCTACCAGGAACCCAGGTCAGGATTCCGACTGTTCCAGAACCCAAAAACTTCCTTTTCTCTGCCAGCCAGGGAAATATCTTCCTAGGAAAACCTATATCTATTTGGAGGAAAACCACTTTCCCCTCCTTTTCCACATCATTCTGCATCTCTTCACAAACTCTTACCTTCTCAGTGATCTTCTTAGGCTTTTCAAAGACAAAAGCCAGTAAGTCTGACAGTCTTTCTGCCCCTGAAGCAATGATGCACAGAGCCCACTAGCCTACCTATTGTCTTCATCACCATATTCATACCGATATTCACAGTCCAAAACCAAAGGGCCTAGTTGTCTATGGTTGAGGTTTCCTTGTTCCTCAACCCTTCAGTCCTCTCTTCATCACCCCTGTTACCCTGCCATCTGTCCTTCCTATTCTGGGCCTCTTTCTCTCTCCCTCATCACTTCTATCTAAAGGTCAGTACTCAACCCTTTTATCCACCTCAGTTTACTATGGTAGTGGTTCTCTCCCCTCCCCGCCCCAATATTTTTTATTGATTTCAGAGAATAAGGGGGAGGGAGAGAGAGAAAGAAACATCATGATGCAAGAGAATCATCGATCGGCTGCCTTCTGCATGCCCACATTGGGGATTGAGCCCTGACCAGGGTCAAACTGGGACCTCCTGGTTCATAGGTCGATGCTCAACCACTGAGCCACACCAGCTGGGCTGGAATTAGTTCTTAATTAAGGATAAGGTTTAGATGAAAGGATAGTTGGGGAGGGCATTTCAAAATGGAAGAACTTTGTTAACCAGGAGTCCTGGGGTAAGAGTGTGCAAGATGAGTTTGGGAGACAGTGAGTTTATTAGTTTAGCTGGATTGGAAGGTGACTGGCTAAAGAATTACGATTAAATAGTTGACTAGGTAAGATTGTGGGCAGGTTTCAAATTCTGGAGCTCAGAAATTCTTTGGTCCAGCCAGTGAGAGCTTGCAGATGTGCTTTGTTTTCTGTACTTTGGTTCTCCCCACTCCCCAGTTTATTACCAATGTTTAATATCTTGGGGAATAACATAAAAAATCAGATATACTGGATTGCATATTTTATTGTGAAAAATGAAGAATATTTCTTCGTATTTAACATACACAGTTTCAGTATATATAGGGCTTTATTTATTTATTATATTTTTTATTTGGGGTACCCACTCTTAGCCAATCATGCTGGCTAAGATTGGAAACTGAGATTCAGATAGGAGGAGTCTCTTGCCAAGACCCACCATGTAGTTCAGTGCTGAAGCTAGTGGTAAGCTTTAAGCCCCTTGCACAGGCTCTAAAGGGCAGTGAGTGTGTATCTCTTCTCAACTCCACTTTGGGTGATGTTATGTTAGTAGCTCAGAATGGCCATGGTGGGAGTATTTACACCACAGGAAGTGGCAGCTGCTACAAATCACAGCTGGTTATTAAACATTTATCAGTATATAGTGCTTTATTTCTTATGCTTGGCAGCTGTAGGCATTTTTATTTACAACTCTGCATTTAGAGAGCCATATATTCATAAGTATTTATATTAATCCCTTAGAGAATTCTCCTGAGAGGCTTTTTGGATCATTTGAAATTAAAGAGATTATTTTATGAAATTACTTTATTATGACATACTTCACAGCATTTCAGAGCTTCTGAGGTTAACGGGAAAATATTTTCGTTTAGAATTTTAACAGTCTATTGAGAGTGACCAGAAATAATTTTCTTTTTCATTTTAGGTACCCCAGTAATTAAACAGGATGAGGAAGAAGAAAACTAACACCATGTTTTCCACTTCATGTTAACTTATTTAAATGTCACATAGAACAATAGATAAGTTTTGTATAATTGTCTGTTTTAAAGATTCTGTGTGGAGCGAAAGGTTCTTAAGATAAAACAAATCTATGATGTCTTTTTCTTTTTCTTAACCTATTCACTGTCCCTCTCTGCCCCCTGCCCCAGATGGTAACACCAACTTTATATATTGTAGTCCTCTTTTTAGAAACTACAAATTTTCAGTTTTTTGTCTTCAGTCTCCATCTACTGAAACCTTTATAGACTGAACAATCATTTTTAACAAAAGAATAAATGTGGTTATTCATTCAATTTTTTTTTAGGTCAGGCAGTTAAATATATATGTTTAACTTTTGAATCTGTAGACCATCTTTCCTAAAGATCCATCCCCTTACGACTCAGAAGCACAAATGCGTCATGCCTTTGGTTCCAAAGGCAGCACGGTGGCAGCAGCCATAGAAGCAAAACTCCAAAGTCATAGTGAAAAAGCTGTGGTGAAAAAAATGAAAAATTAATATCTTGGAGGCCTTAGCGCCCATGTTATGTTTATTACTTGGTTTTTAAAAAATATGTACATTGTCAACTGGAATTTAGGTTGTGTGTACATGTGTGGCCACTCAAGTCACCGTGCATAGTCAATCAGTCATTCCGTGATCCAGGTCAGTGGGTAAAGTGACTGTCATTATTCCTTTGACTAGCGCTGTGGCCATGTTACCCATGTGGACCTGATCTTAGGCACACTTTTGGGTAAATAGTTCTCTGTATGTTATATAAGGAAATATATATATAAGTGGTAGTTATATTTGGATGCCTAGTGTAAATCTTGGCCATTCATATATATTAAAATTTGCCCTAATAACTTTGATCTGTTGACCACCATGTTGGTAGAAATGATTGTTCTAAGGGTATAGAACTTAAAGACTAGATCTGGTACCTTTCAATAAATTAAATTTAGTATTTCAAAATATATTTTTAGAAAAGTTCTAAGTTAAACAGCTCTTAAAATGAATTATGTAAGTGGTATTAGAGGGAAAAGAGATGTTTCACTATGGGATCCCAGGCAAATGGCAATATTTTTGAGGATTGCTTCCTCTGTAAAGCATTGTAGGTGATTTAACCTCAAAATTACAGAGCAATAGTTGGATGCAGAGTTTAGAATTTATCACATAAGAAAAAAATTCTTTTTTGAGAATGAGGATATGGTAGCCAGTAACCAGGTGAAGTCCATAGTAAGCCACGACCAAATCAGCGATAGATTGCAGTAAGGAAGCCAGAGGCCCTCTGCCAAATTGTGCCTGAAGTCCCTCAACCAGAGACTATTGATTTTCATTTCCCCATTTACTTGTGTAAAAATGAGTCAAAAACTGATTACATAAGTAGTACTGGGTTTCAGAAGTTTTCAGTTATCATTTAAATAGGAATTACATGATTTCTCAGTCATGCTGATCAAAAGGGACCACTGCTTCGACAATCAATCCTAAAAAGGAAAAATTAGCCCAACATTTTTTTTTAGCTTCCTTTTAGCTCTTCCTCACAATCTGATAGGAAGAAATCTTAACTCTGAATGACTTACACTTTCAAAACCTTTGGGTCTTAGCTTCTGGGACCCAAAGTTTTCTTGTAGCATGAACTTCATCTAGTAAGGCAGACTTGAAGCCATATTGCTATGTATGGGTGTATTTTCTAAAAGTTATTCTGGAAGTGACTATAATAGGGAATGGATGACTTCATATTTAATTTTTTTAATGGCTTACAGTCTTATTTTTGCTTATTTTTAGTTCTGCAATAGAGAAACTAATTTTCTTTCACCTTGTTCTCTCTCTCTCTCTCTCTCTCTCTCTCTCGAAAGGAGGGGAGAGGGAGAGGTAGAAATATCAATGATGAGAATTATTGATCAGCTGCCTCTTGCATGCCCCCTACTGAGGACAGAGCCTGCAGCCTGGGCATGTGCCCTGACCAGGATTTGAACCGTGACCTCCTGGTTCATAAGTCTACCCTCAACCACTAAGCCATACCAGCTGGGCCCCTTTGTTTCTAAATCACTGTAGTTAATCACTGTAGTTCTCAGAGAAATGTAAGATGCTTTTCTGTGTCCATTTCACAAAATATCCAAAGTCAGTTCCACTCAACAAATATTTGAATGACTTCGTTGTATTCTTTGCGTGGAATGAAACGAAGAATTCACTAAGAAACAGAAGATAGAAAATAGATAGAGTGTATTAAGAAGTTCAGAATATTCTCTCAAATCATTCCTTAACTCATCCTTTACTGCTGCAAATTTAGCTGATATTAAATGCCTTTAATTTGTGCTTTTTGGATTAGATCTTTAACCTACTTGGAATGGATTCTCTCTGTGCTCCTGGTTTGAAGCATTATGCCATTTTAGTGGATCATGTAAATTTCTTCTCTTCTTGTAATGATGGTAGAGCTCTGGAATCAGTTCAGTATTTTTATTTTTTTTTTTTAAATATATTTTTTATTGATTAAGAAATTACATATGGAGAGAGATAGAGAGTTAGAAACATCGATGAGAGAGAAACATCGATTAGCTGCCTCCTGCACCTCTCCTACTGGGGATGTGCCCGCAACCCAGGTACATGCCCTTGACCGGAATCGAACCCGGGACCTTTCAGACTG